AGATAAGATATATAGACATTTCTCTAGTGAAAGCAATTCTTTACTGCTAAGTCTCTTGATTTTCCTTTCAGGATATTTCATTCGAAAACAGAAGTGAGGAGTTGTCTCATCATGGCGCAAAATAAAGAGCTAAACATGTTGAATAGATTCCCTGAAAATGTGACTCTTAAAGATTTATGCGATTGGACTATGTCTTGGCACATAGTGCTTTTGGATTGTTGATTTTGATGGATTGTAATTTCAATTGCTCATTTTGGGGATTGTTACTTTTGGCGGATAGTGGTTTTTGTTATTCATTTTTTACTTTGAATCGTTTCATTGCTACCTATATTATTTTGCAGGAAAAAAATGAAACCGGAAAAAGGAACAAAAAAAAAAAAAGGTTATCGGGTAGACCCTGAAACCGGACCGGAAAAACAGGGTTGGTTCTAAAACAGAGTCTAGGGAAAACATGGTTGGTTTCAGGTTCCAAAAATTGGGAACTGGTTATAACAGGGTTGGTTTCAGGTTCTAGGTCTAGACCCAACCCACCTTGGAACCGATCACCCCTAGGCAGCCTACGTGGTACGGCTGGTGTTGACGTGCAACAAATTTTAATAAAATTTTAATATTTTTTTATATTTTAATTATTTTTTCTATTTCTTTTTTCTTTTTTCCTTTCTTCTTCCTTTTGTCGATGATTGGTCACCAGCCACAAGCGATGGCTGGACAGGCTAGCCTCGCCTGGGTGAGGGTCGTCGTCACCGGCCACAGGCGAGGGCAAGGGCTGGCCTTGCCTAGGTCAAATTTGTCGAGTGGAGCCCTTACCAGGGCTCGCCTCACGTAGCCGGGGCTAGCCCTCGCTTGTGGCGGGCGACGACGACCCTCTCCCAGGCTAGGCTTGCCCACTTGGGCATGGTTGGTGATCGGCCATCGCTTATGCCGTGTGGCCAATCATCGGTAAAAAGAAGAAGAAATGAAACAAAAGAAAAGAAAGAGAAAAGGAAAAAAAACAAAAAATCATAATAAAATTGAAAAAAAATTAAAATATTATTAAAATTATCTACGTCAGTATCAGCGGTAGGGGTGTCAATGGGTCGGGTCGGGTTGGCCTTTCTTGATACCCGACCCGAAACCTACAGGGTCATGCTTGACCCGCCCAGACCCGCCCAAGACCCTGTTCACCGTACACCCCAAGGTCCGGGCCAGGCCGGGTCGGGCCGGGCCGGGTTTCGGGTTTGTTTTTTTTTTGTTTTTTGTTTTTTTCGCTTTTGTGCAAATAGTAACATCTTAATACCCACAGTTCCACCTAAACAACCTCTTTAGTAATTCACTAGGACATAGCTAGACAAACAGGATGCATTAAGGAAAACTACAACTGAATACAATAAAGTTATTGAAACATCTGAATAGCATTGGATGAATCAATAATGCTGCGACCTCCCAGGATTGATTGATCAACTTTAGCACCATCCACCTCCCCATGGCCTGTCCCCATTTCTCCAGCTGCGTGACATGGTTCACGATCATTCAAACCCATTGGTACCTTTTCTTTTACTACATGCTCCCTAATATCGACCAAGTGAGAATCAACTACCAGCGATTTTCCAGTTCCCAATACTTCATCTTTCCTGAGAAATTTATTCAACAAGACTTTCCTGCTAGCATCATACAGTGTGACCTGAATGATCCAAGGGGAAGAAAACAATGCTTTAAATTGCTTCCCTGTAAACAGAATGAAGTTCCCATTAGCTATCAAAAAGCACATGAACTAACATGCTTCCACTAAATTCTGTTCCATGTTCTACAAATAAGCAAGGTCCTTATATTAACGTATCGGACTCGAATTCACTATACCTCCTCCAAAGAACTCTAATTCAAATTCAAATTCAAGCAAACGCTATCAAAAACTAAACATATGCAAGAATCGACCCAAAGCAACATACGCGTGAAGCCATCCCATCTCAGGCCGCAATTCAAACAGCATCAAAAAACACAGATGCTCCAAGAAAACAAACCCATCTCCACGGAGAACAAATTCATCATTTCTCATGAACTTCAACCGACCCATCCTTAATAAACCTGGAAATTCCCGACAAAATCCAGCTTATGGCAAAGCAAGAGCACAATTGCAACAAAGCGATTCCGTTTCCCGGAACTCTCGTTCGTTACCAAACACGAGAACCGGAGGATCTAGTCACCTTGCAAACGCCAAACCAACCTCGAACTCAAACAGCATCGCGGACAGAAACAGCAAGACAAGCTCAGGTCGCATTCAACGCGCAAAACGAAGACAGAATTTCACGACCCAAGAATTCTAAGGTTAAAAAAAAAAATGAAAACCAAACGACGACCTCCATACCCACGAAACATGCTCCGAGAACTCTCTCGAAACAATCATCAACTCCACAGCTGCGGGTCGAACAAGAACGCGAAACACACAACGAGCCCAACCAACCCCAGCAGTTCAAATTCACCGTCAGAGCTCGCGCGGCCACCGAATCACTGGCCAAATCCTTCGCCGGCCACACAATCGGCCTTCGTATGATGTCCGAGCCTAGCGCCTCCCGGCTCCGGACTTTGCCGCCCCCGGATCCGGTCCTCAGCGCGCAGACTGTTCCATATACACAAGCAGCTGCGACGACTTCACGGCGGAGATGCGACGGCTTCACGGCGGAGAGATATCGCTCACCTGCTTGCTCGGCTGCTGAGGCTCACGACAAAGGGAAGCGATCGGTTTCGTCGCCGATCGGAGAGAGATCTAGGTTTTTTCTTCACGCTCTGCGTAGCGCGCCAGAGAGGGGAGAGAGAAGGGAAGAGAGACTGAGAGAGGGAGATGGGTCGGCCCAGAGTGTCAATGGGTCGACCCTAAAATACCCCAACCCTAATAATACCCCAAATTTTAGGGTCATATTCGAAGAAAACTAAAGCCCGACCCTAAAATACCCTAAATTTTAGGACCGGACCGGGTCGGCGTGGGTAGGGCTGGGCCGGCACGGGTTCTGTTGACACCCCTAATCAGCGGTGCCATGTAGGCCAACCGGTGTCATCACGTAGGCCGACCGGCGTCCACGTCAGCAATATTCGGTCAAAACTAGGCATAAGGATTGAATTGGCACAAAACCAAAAGGTATAGGACTAAATTGACACAATTAAAAGATTTACGACTAATTCCTTTATTTGAGATTACCAAAAGGTGAGATTTCGCACCAAAATTGGGTGGCCCCAAAAATAGCACCGATGTAATATGTTTAGGACTTTTTCATCACTTTCCCCATCATTCAAAAGTATATAACTGAAATTTCCATGACTAATAGACGAAAAAAGAGAATAAATATTGATGATGAATTGGATACCAACTTCACCATTCTCAAAAAGAACTTAAAATCGAACATCAAGCAAAGGCAAAAGCTGACTTTGCTGTACAAAGGTGGGGCACGTAGGCTAGGACCACGAGGAGTCAAGTCCTTCACCACCCTGGATATTTCCAAAACTTTATTTTGTCATTTTATTCAGTAAATCATAGACTGAGCTTTCTCAGATTTAATTTTGACGCTGGAAAAATTGTTCATGCTGTCAATTTTTTGCTTTGCTCAATCCAGAATTTTTGCATCCACTTTGTCTGTTCAGGAAAAAAAGCAAATATAAATGAATATGAATGTCAACGTTTCACTTATCCAAAGATTTTGGTTGGTTTAGATTTGAGCCTTGCAAAAAAAAAAGGAAAAGGAGGCGAAAAGGATGAGGATTTTGTAATTTGTGAGGGCATTTTCGCGAGATAGCATTGGGTTAATAATTTCGCGACTAGCGTGAAGACTTAGACTCAGTATAACGATGATCATATTGTACAGATTTGAATTCAGTCTTAAACCTTTCAATTGAACCAATATAATCCTAAATATTTGAGGGAGAATGCAATCGAGTCCTCCCGACCAAGTCTTGTATGAAGTTTCCGACGTGGCGGTTCAAAAATTGCCAGCTATCCTATGTGTTACAATACAATCTGCCGTGGACAATTTCAGATGAAACGATGCCGTTTTTGCTTAATTCCTTTTTTTTTCTTAATTACTTCTGGCGTGCTTATATAAATTTAGAGCATTTTGCATGGTTGATTTTCATTTTGCACCTCACATACCGATCACATGCATTTGCTCAAATAGGAGCAAATATTGACTTGTTTTGATACAAATTTGCTGGACTTTAAAAAGTACCAAATAATTTGAAAGGGAAGTACTTAAAAGACTAATCTTTTCGGATGTGAATAGTGGTAAGTGAACAGTTTAATATCGCAAAGTGCTTAATCTTCACTTCGGAACTTAATCGGGTTATCAACCATGCCCTAATGTAAAATTTCAAATTTGATGTACTAAGGCATGTATCGATCCTATTGAATGTTAAGTATGACCCACTTGTTCAAATACTTACTTAGTCTACCACATTGCATAGTATATAGATTTCATAACTCAGTCTTAATATACAAATGTTCGAAATGTTTGCTGTTTTAGCTAAGTGTACAAATCGAAATTTTTCAAATTTGATGTACTAAGGCATGTATCACTCTTATTGAATGTTAAGTATGACCCACTTGTTCAAATACTTAGTCTACCCCATTGCATAGTATATAGATTTCATAACTCAGTCTTAATATACAAATGTTCGAAATGTTTGCTGTTTTAGCTAAGTGTACAAATCGAAATGGAGAGAGAGAGAGAGAGAGGCAAGAAATGTGAATCATTGAGCTAATTGTACGACTGAAATGATATGTGAATCATCGAAATGTTTGCTGTTTTAGCTAAGTGTACAAATCGAAATGGAGAGACAAAGAGACAGAGAGAGAGACAGAGAGGGGGGGGGTGGGGCAAGAAATGTGAATCATTGAGCTAATTGTACGAATGAAATGATATGAAGGAGAGTTCAAATTATTGCAATAGTGAAAGCAGTTTCAGACTTTCAGTGCACGTCCATTGTCTGGTGTTGCTTCTCATAAACTTCAGAGATGATGGAGCCTCACAAACGAAATATCAAACATAAAACAAAGAATGACTCCATAATCCCAGCATACAAGAGTGAGATCACAGTTAAAGATTAGTTTTTGGTGATAATTTCAAAAATCTACATCTCCCCAATCATCCTAATCTCAAGTTCATCATACATAGCAAGCTATTTACCGCGAGTGCGGAAGAAAGACGGAAAAAAAAAATAAAATGAAAGAGAAAATACATGTAGTTTGAGCTAGTAAGGCCACAAACTGATCCCGCCTGGCTTCTTTGCGAGGATTTGGTTGTATTCAGGCCGAGATGTCTGCGCACGAACAAATCCAAGTGCGATCAGTACAGAGCCTAATACTTTGTCCTGATGATCTATGCAAAGTGATGCTCTCCGATATCAGATGACATGCTTTCAGAGGATAACAAGTGTCGCACTGAAATAGCGCAATAAATAACGTTCACTGCTAAACTGCACTGAATTGATTCATATTGGAACTAAAACTGATTCAAACAGATGCATCCATTTTCCTCTAATATGTTTACACGGTCAAAAGGATTCCACAGTTGAATAGTAGTCACAAATTGAGTCCCGGACATAAATTGTCTCCATGAATCATGCGGTTCTGCAACTTCAAAATTACTGAAAGTTCATGGGGAAATGAGACAGTTGGGAAGAAAGGAAGACTTATACCAGGTCCTTGAAGATGAGGAAGGCAATGAAGAAGAAAAGGAAGAACAATATCTCAAACTCCGCAACCCGCACAAAATTGAACACAGAAGTCACCATCCGCGTTAGCATTGGCTCTTTATAGCCCCGCCTGCCCATCCTCCCATTCATCTTAAAATCTGTCAAAAACAACCCTTTGTTTTAAAAATTCAGCACTTTTGTTTTCTACTAAATCAGACCAGCAACATCCGCCAGCACAACAATGGCAGCATGTTAGTGTAATGAATATAGATTAAAGCCATATTTCAGTATAACTGTAATGGCTCGGGTAAAATTCCAGATGAAAAAGAAACAGTTTGTTCCCAATACATACAACTAGTCAACTATACCGTAGAGCTTTGACAGAAGTATTGGCATGTCTTAATTCGATCTAATTTAAGTAAAGGATCGCAATTAGCAACCCTGTTCATGGTTGGACCGTTAAGAGGCTAAGTGCACAGGAAACAATGGATTGTTCTCACAAGTGTAACATGAAAGTCCCTTCAGAGGTATGTTGAGAGCTCGACTAATATTGGCTCAGATATCAGCTGTGCAAGTGAAAGTTCATCGTGCAAAAGACGAATACCAGACACCAACTAAAACAGCCAACGAAGTCATCAACCTTGATCCTGGAATAGACTTGACAAAAGTCGTAAGACTGTAAAGTCAAAAGACTAATTACAATTCACCGAAATATAAAAGGCTCATCAGATCCCGGGTCCTTGAATCAGGGCATATTAGGGTGAGAACACCACACTTATTTACCCAAATTATTATGCAAGGAGGCTACTAGTCAAGCAGATTTTTTATGCAAAAGATCTTCTGCGCAGGACTCATTTTGTTTTCTTACTTTTGGGTCAAGAAAGAGCTTTTGTGAATTTCACACTCAAGCACACTGTCCTCAAATTCAATGAGTTACAAAATGAAATTGTTGCAGTTGATCAAGAATTAGGTTTTCTGGGCCCCAAATGAAAAGCACAATGATGAAGACAACTTCATCTTCCATTGGAACACTAGCAAGTAGCATTTGTTGTCCATTGAAAACAATCTAGTTTTTGTGCTCATCACTCAAATGCATAAGACAATATCACAGAGTGGTAAAGAACTACATGTTACAGAAAGCATCCAAGCCGGGAATACCAAAGTTTCCCGGGAAAACCAGGAAAGCCCAGAATTGCCATCTCAAATCAAAGGCTAAAGACAGGACCATCACTCTTTTCTGTACAAACATCTAATTACCCATTCGATAGCAATTAAAGGGTCGTGATGCACAGCAAATTTACATGAGTTTCAATCTCACGATGCCATTACCAAAACAAGAAGCTGCCCAAGAAACCAACCACCAAATAAATAGACCCTAATCTAGCTGGCAACATCAATGAAATTCTACGCATCAACTCCAACAGAGAAATCAAGCAATGCCCAGATCCAATTTCGACCTCACCGAGCCCGATCTAACGTCACCCCCCGCAAAGAATCTCCAGCAACAAGACCGAACTGGGATACCACTCGAGCCCAAAGAAATTTCTCTGGAAATGGAAAATGAAGAGAAGAAACATACCCTGAAATTCGGAGACAGAGGAAGAAGGATCAGAAACGATGAAGTGGTCAAAGGCTTATCAAATCAACTTGCGTGTAACGACGATTCTTGGTCTGGGCGTCAGGATTGATTCAGTCGGAGAGAGCGAGAATGATAAGAAAAATATTGGGTGGGCCGGTCCCTCCGCATCACCATGGGCCGGCCCACACACAGACATAGACACTTAGACAGAGACAGGGAGACTCCTAGTTAGACATGCATGATGCTGCCATATCTACGTTAAGGCGTGGATGTAAGGCGTGGATGCGCGAGAGAGGGAGGGCCTCCTGGATGCGCCGGCGGAGGCAGAGGCGGAGGCGGAGGTGGAGATGGAAGCGACATGCCGGAGGCGGCGGATCTAAGCTCGGGATACGACCGGTGGGAGCTCTTGGGAGCGATCGGGGGAGAGAATTTGGAAAAAAAGAGAGAGAGGGCTTCGTTCTTTGGAGGAGAAGACGCTGGAGTCTCAATGAAGAAGGAGAAAAAGTGGGTCCCGGACGCCACATGTCGATTGTTGAGTGGGCTGGCCCCACGATGACGTGGAGGGCGCGGGCCGACTCAATATTTTGTCGAGAATGATTGTTTTAAGGCCATAATATTGTCAGAAAATTATTTAGGCTTAATTTATTTCGCGAAAAATGAACAATTTGGAATTTGACCAAAAAGAGATTTAAAAATAATTTTAAAAAATGATTAGTTATATCGTATGTGATAATTAGTCAATAAAAAATATTTTTATTATCGATGATAATCGGATACATTTAGTTTATTTGTTTTTTTATTATCTTTTATTTTGTTTTTGATTTTGTAAACAAACACTTGTGCGTGTAATTTATTGTACGACAACTCAATAAAACTTATCCTTTCGACACTGCAATGCATCGTGGTTATATGGTATCAGAGCCTCCAAAATACTTGAGCGAGTAACAATCCCATCATGGCCGAAATCATCGCCCGGGTAACTATTTTTCCTCCTACATCCGCCAATGCCAAAGACCCACCCTAATCTCCATCAACGCGGCCGCCCAACTCCCCGCTAAGCTCTGGCCATCCATCTACACTTCATGGCGAGCCTAGTTCATGTCCATGCTTGTGGGGTATGATCCTTTGGGCTACATTGACGGCACCCTCCCACAACCATTCAACATAGTCACAGGTACAGACGGGAAAGTTATGATCCCAACCCTGCATATGTTCTTTGGAATCGTCATAACCAGTTTCTCCACCATACTATTCTCACATTAGTAACTGAAACTGTAATCTGGCTTGTCTCCATTGCTAAAACCTCGCGGGAAGCATGGTGCATGCTCGGGAATGCCAATCATTCCCGTGCTTGGGTGATGAATCTCAGGGAACGGCTACAACTGTCCACCCGTGGCTCGAAATCTATTTCTAAATTTCTCCATGGCCTCAAATCAATTGCAAATGAGCTCGTACTTATTGACAGCCAAGTGTCAATTAAGGATCTCACCTTGCATGTCCTTAATGATCTCGGATTTGAGTTCCGCGAGAAATCGGCGTCTCTTCGCACATGCAACACCCCTCCAACCTTTGAAGAGCTCCGTGGCTAATTAGTTGCTTATGAAGAATTCCTCAAGCGTGAGAACACCACCACTAATTTCCATGTTGCGACTGCCAATTTTACACGAAGGTCCTCCCATTCCAACAAGTGGTCAAACTCCACCAAGAAGTCACCTCACACCCATCAGCCACAACAACAAATTCCTCACTGGAATCAATCGGCCGATCATCATAGCGGTGTCTCAAATCAAGGAACGCACTCATAGTTGCTATCCGCGCACTTTTCTTGTCTGTCAACTTTGTGACCAGCAAAGTCACATGGTTCAAACATGCGGGCAATACTACCAGCACCATGGAAATCCTAAATTCACCATACGACCTCCATAGCTCCCATCAACAAAAATTGGGTCCTCGATCGATTCCGGGGCCTCTCATCATGTCTCTCTGATTTGAGCAACCTTTCGCTGTATTCTGAGTACGATGGTCCAAAAAAGTCATTATTGATGATAGTAAAAGTTTGCAAATCGCACATGTGGGATCCACACACCTCCACACCATTTTCCTTTACACTATCCAATGTTTATTATGTTCATACTATTACCCAAAATCTCATCTCTGTTTCTAAATTTTGTAAATCTAACAATGTGCTAATTGAATTTCATCCTTTTCACCTTTTATCAAGGATTGATGTATGGAAGCGATTCAATTGTAGAACCAAATCACAATGATGTTTATTAACTTCCCTTAACGATACTATGACCACCACCTACAACTTCAACCTTTATTAGGAGTTGTTTGGTAACCTGCCAAACAGTACATGTTTCTATTCTTTTGTTCCTAGGAACAAAAAAAAAAAAAAATAGAAATTCATTTGGTAAATTTTTTGTTTTTGGGCACAAATTTGTTCTCAGAATCAGTTTTGGAACATAATTAAGAATAAATAAAAAAGTTGCTTCTTGATTTTGGGAACAAAAAAAAGAATCAAAAGTCACAAGCTGGGTATTGCTCGTGGTGAGTCCCGCTATTGCTTCTTAGAAGATCTCTGTCGATCACTGTCGCAAGTCCTCCCTTCACCGCTGCTCCTCCTTCACCGGTGCTTCCTTCACGACGATGATTGCTCCTTCACCGACCAAGCTTCTCATTCGAGATGAGTTCTTGCAAACTCGCAACTATGGGAGGGATGCCGTCGCCACCGTCGAGCGAGCGCGGCCCTCGCCAATCTGGGCTTGCTCTCGCTCGAGCGAGCGTGGCCCTCATTGATCTTTTTGTCCTAACTCCCGAAGAAAGCCAGTGACCCTACCTAGCTAGTCGTAACTCATAGCGTGTATGTATAGGTTGACGTGCTGATCCATCACGTCGATTTTGGCCCTCCATCTCTTTTGGCTCGAACCCTCCTCAACTCCCCTCCGTGCAATCACTGCATTGCCTTGCCGTCTTTGCTCCGCCGTTCGTCTCAGGTAGCTTCTTGGATCTCCCTTCAATTGTGGCGGCTAGTTATATGCATTTCTGGTTATCGTTTGTATCTTTGCGTTTTGCTCGTTTTGATAGCTGAGAGCCTATTGGAGAGTTTCGAGCCTGTTTGGATAATGGAGTTCTTGTGTTGGTTGATTGGTGCGATTGTCGGGCCTTTCTTAGCTGGTCCATTGGTTGGATTTTGGTTCCACAGATTTTGATTTTTCACGGGGCTATAACCCTCTTGACTAGCTCGGCGACTTGTTGATCTTGATTCCATTTTCTTTGATGGGTAATTGAATTTGAGCTCCGGTTGGGTTTCTGTTGATGGGTGAATGCCACATTCTTAAACCTTGAATATTGTATTGCTTCAGCTTAATTCTTACTTGGTGCTTGGATCTCGAGAATGAGACGTGGAGAATGCATATCTTTTTTGGTGATGATGTATCCCTATGCCCTTTTTCTTTTCCTCTTCTTTGTGCCTTTAGCTTTGCCGGAGCATATGCTTCTTTGTTTAGCTCGAACTGTAGCTTGAGATTGTATTTTCCAAATTTTCTCGTGCTGCTACTTCTCTTGAGAATGGTTGCATGTATTGCTTGTAACTTCGACATGACTATGTTATTGATTTAATGCATAACTCATATGATGCTCAACCGGTTAAGGTTAAATGGCATCTCAAAAAGAGCTATTCAATGCAAAGTGGACTGGGCCTTTAACCAACCTGCTTGTAAGTTTGTTGGTTGAGGAGGTCAAAAAGGGAAATCGCACCTCTTTTACTTACAACAAAGCTGGGTGGAATAACATACGGATTAAATCATTAAACAGACAGGATACCAATATAGCCTACTTCAGTTGAAGAACAAGGTGAATAAACTAAGAAAATAGTATGGTAGTTTTAAGAAGCTTCTTTCACAATTCGAATTTGGCTAAGATAATGTGAATAAAACAGTAGTTGTCGATGATCCAAGTATATGGGAATCTTACATCAAGGTATCGTTTAACTTTTGATTATTTTGATGTCATTATAGATGGAAGTTTTAAAAGGTTTGATTATATTGCTGACATATTTCATTATTGTGAAAATTGCAGGATAATAGTGAGTGGGAAAAATTCAAGAAGGATGGCTTTCCTTAGTATCTCGAGCTGTGTATTGTATTTGGTGGTACATCTGCTACTGGGGATCATGCCACAGGAAATGCTGAAGATTTGACGGTGTCGGAGGAAGGTGACAATGGTGGTGGCGATGCAGACGGTGATCCAGAGGACTTAAGTGATCACCACATTGATGAGAGAGTCTTTACATCTGACAATCTTGCAATTCCAGTTCATGACAAGCACAAATTGGATAGGACCCCAAATACCAAGAGGAGAAGAAAGAGTACTTCATTTTGCGTTGCTGACACTTGCAAAGCTATATAAGAGCTGATCAAAGCTAAGACAAGTCAATCTGTGAGTGTCTCTGCCACCTCATAGGTCACACCACCACCTGTGGACCCTTTCTCCATATCCGCTATCATTGATGTCCTAGTTAGTATGCCTGAGTTGGGGCAAGATCTTTACAACAAAGCAGTGGAACGAGCATGTGTTAGTGCTGTATGGAGGGAAGCTTTCATCAAATCCCCAGCTGAAAGAAGAAATGGACTTCTTCAATGTCTTCAGTAGATGTTGGGAAATGTACCGTGGATTGCGTAGGGTTTCATTTGATTGTATGACTTATGTTAGTACTTGATATTTGGTTTTTAGAGATATTGATGTCGAGACTTTTGTACTTTTGTGGTGCCATGGGTACAATAAACTGTTTGTGATTTATATATTTGGTTTGCTTTCACTCTACGACTTATGTTATTGGATTTTTTTTTAGATATATATATTGATGTTCTTGTGTTTGTGTGATGATATAGGTAACTATGGAAGGGAGATCAAATAGTATGTCTAATGGGAGAAAATATTCGGTGGTTAACAACCACCAGGCTATCCGCCTATGTGGCGCGCGCAAGCTTAGTTGGCTCCACTCAATTGGAGCCACGTGGTGCTGAGTTGGACTTGCTGTAAAGTGAAAAAGGTTTTTTTTTTCTCTGTCCGGCAGAAAAGGTGGGACCCGCAGAAAATTAAAATCCCTCCTAAAACACTCTCTCTCCTCTTTTCAATTTTCAAGGCTTCTTTACCTGCTCTCGTGGGGAAGAAGACACACACACTCACACACACACACTCTCTCTCTCTCTCCACCACCTCTGCCTCCGCCTGTCCCAAGAGCCCTACCGTTGCTCCAAGCTTAGATCTGCACCCAAGAGGGAGAGCCCCGTTTCGCTCCAAACTTAGATGTGCGTCTGGCACGTCGCCTCCCCCAAGAGCCCCTCCGTTGCGGCTACTAGATCCCGAGCCCCTCCGCCTTCGCCGAGCTCAGATCTGCGCCCAAGAGGGAGAACCCCGCGTCGTTTCGAGCTCAGATCTGTGCCCGGCACGTCGCCTCCCCCAAGAGCTCCTCCGTCGCAGCTGCTGGATCCCGAGCCCCTGTGCCTCCGCCTTCGTCGAGCTCAGATCTGCGTCTGGCACTTCGCCTCCCCCAAGAGCCCCTCCGTCGCGGCTGCTGGATCTCGAGCCCCTCCGCCTCCACCTCTGCCTCCGAAGCCCCATCGGTGGCTACGATGTACAATTCATCGGCTAGCTCATCTCTCTCTCTCTTTCTCACACGCCAAATTCCCGGCGGTTGCCGACGCGACGATCGAGCACAAGGTCTTCGCTCGCGTCGGTTTGGGGAACCCTAGCGATGTCAACCTATGGCCGCGCCATCTCTCTCACCCTCGGTAACTTCTGGGCCTCCGTTCGATTGCGTCCCTCTCTCAGACTCGGCATTTTCACTAAGTATGAAGATGAGGAGGAGGAAATACCAGATGACATGTGAGAGTTAGCAACGGAAGTGTAATGGATGCATGAGTGTTCGTTATTGCGTTATTACGTGTCTGCCATAGTATCAGGGGGCTATTGGATCGGTAGGGAAAAGAACTTGCCAATTTCATTTTGGAAGGTCCGGGGTCGGGTGGTGTTCGCGATATCTTTTTACCTTCTTGTTGGTTCCAAATGTGTCGTCCTTTTTCTCTCATGCTACAGACAACAACATTTCATGTGAATCTATCATATGTTCTTCTGCTATATCCATTTTTTTCATCTCCGTGGCATTTTAGTGTTTTTTTTAACAACTGTTAGCTTCAAAAGATATAGTGGTAGTCTCCCTTTATGTAATCGAATTTAAGGAGCCGAATTCTAAGCACATCTAATTTGTTTTAGTGACCCATTTCTTATGGCCACAGAAGCAATTGAGTATTACATGGTCTAAAGTAAATGCAATACGAGGAAGAAACTGTGTTTGCATTCACATGGCTCAAAAAATTGAGGTATTGATTGATGACAGGTTGCAATGTACAATTTTTGACAAAGAATTCATCAACATCACCTCCTAAACTACGATTCTAATGGTCAATACTCAGTTGTCTTATATTGTCTACATGTAAGAGGATGACTATGAACAACGCAACTCTTGCTTGATCCCAAGTCTAGAAACATCGATTTCTTCGTGGCAAAATTGTTGGCACGAGGCTTTTCATCTTTAGACGCATGAGACCCAGCTCCGCAAAATCACTTTCCACCGATTACCTCTTGCAATTTTGGCGCGCGAAGCCTTATGACTTGTTGCCATCTTTGGGAGATCACGTGGATCCAATTCTTGCACTGTCCGTTGCCTCTTGTCTGTTGAGAAGGAATAATAGAGTTATGGCCCGCTATGCATTAGGTTTATGAAACAACAACTATCTATATTACGAAATCAATCAACTAACCCGTTTCGGCTCTTTGATAAAGTTCTTGCATCTTCCTCTTGGTGGCTTGAAACTTCATGTCCACCACAACTTCATCCCAGCCCTTGATCCTCTGATTGAAACCAAATGAACAAGTCAGTTCTTTTAATTGTAAGGATACCGGGCATATTAAATTTGGCTTTTCTACTTACCTCAAACTTCATAGTGGGCTTCACAATGCTCTTGTGCTAGTTCACATTCAGCCTTCGGTTCCTGTTAACAATTGGACCGGCCTCATTGACTTGTCCCGGTTTCTTGATGTTTTGGTTCTTGACGGAAGATGTTGTTCTGGCTCCGACTTTGTGATGATCTACAAAAAGAATTCAAGCACACGGTAAAGAAAACTCAGCATATGGGGGACTCAAGATAAAGAACAAGAATGTTTGTGCAGTAAATTAATACCAGCAACATCCTTTGTGTCGTGGAAAAAATCTTTCACCAAAGCCTTCTATCCCCTGCAATGAAAAGAATATGAGTATGAAAGCAGGACCAAATTGTACGAAATGAACTTATTCTATAATATAATCCGGACACAATCTGAGTATGAGCAACACGAGGCTCTCCCTCTTGGGCGCAGATCTGAGCTTAGCGAAGGCGAAGGAGGAGGGGCTCGGGACCTAGCAGCCCTGACGGAGGGGCTCTTGGGGGAGGCGATGTGCCAGGCGCAGATATGAGCTCGGAGTGACGCGGGGCTCTCTCTCTTGGGCGCAGATCTGAGCTCGGCGGAGGCGGAGGGGCTCGGGATCCAGTAGCCTCGACGGAGGGGCTCCTGGGGGAGGCGACGTGCCAAGCGCAAATCTGAGCTCGGAGCGACGCGGGGTTCTGCCTCTTGGGCGCAGATCTGAGCTCGGCAAAGGCGGAGGGGTTCGGGATCTAGCAACCGCGACGGAGGGGCTCTTGGGAGAGGCGACGTGCCAAACGCAGATATGAGTTCGGAGCGAAGCAAGGCTCTCTCTCTTGGGCGCAAATTTGAGCTCAGAGCGACGGCGGGGCTCTTGGGACAGGCTGAGGCGGAGGCGGTGGAGAGAGAGAGAGAGAGAGAGAGAGAGAGAGAGAGAGAGAGAGTCTTCTTCCCCATGAGAGCAGGTAAAGAAGCCTTGAAAATTGAAAAGAGGAGAGAAAGAGTGTTTTAGGCGGGATTTTAATTTTCCACCGGTCCCACCTTTTCTGCCGGACAGAGAAAAGAAAAACTTTTTCACTTTGCAGCAAGCTTGACTTAACACCACGTGTCTCCAATTGAGTGGAACCAACTAAGCTCGCGCGTGCCACATAGGCAGATGACCTAGTGGTTGCTAACCACCGAATATTTTCTCGTCTAATGGACAAGTAGATCCAGATGAACAATTATTGGACGATGATGATCTTTACATATTGATAGCATGGTTGTACATCATTGCGGTGGACATGTCCATATATACGAAAGAACTAATTAGGGACAGCAAACTATTAGGACCCGAATAGATAAAAGAGATTATTTATGGATATTCAAATAGAATATATGAAGCCTTCAGGAAGGAGAGACATGTTTTTTTCAATCTATGTGAATTAATGATGTGACATCCGCGATTTGGACCCCTGACCAATCAAGGAAAATGGCTGAGGAATTGGGTGCGTGGACAACCCGAGGGTCGCCCACAATCCTAGTGTCTTGATTGAGGCAGGTCACCCAGGGATCGACTAGGATCTGATCAAAAGATTGACCATGGATCGGCCAAAGGAATAGGCATGGTTCAATTCACCGTTCACACAATTGAGTAGAGTAATTCAACCATGGAACGACTGTTCGACCAAAAAAAACAGTCGTGGGACAATTACACCCCGAGCTGATCGACGAACGGTTGTGAATCGAGGCTGTGCGGGCACGAGCTAATCGCGGGTGATTCCGCTTGGTAAGCGCACCGGTCACGGGCAACCATGAACCGGTCCCGTACGATCAAGCGTCGGGTAAGGATTGGTTTCACGCGACTACATAACAACCGATGGTCGACCATGGATTGATAGTGGATCGGCCTTGAATCATTGTGGTGAATTGGGAATGGACCATGAACGGGCTGTGCGGACCAGGCACCGTGGTTGTGCGGAGTGCCAAGCACCGTGGCCGATCAGACCAGGCACCGTGCTCATCCAAGTGCCCAGTGGGCCAGGCATTGTGGCCGACCAGGACTAGGTACAACACCTGTCCAAATGGGCCCAGCGCCAGGCACACGCACCGATCAGGCCTTATCCACTTTGGACCGCCCAAATTAATTCGGTTTTGCGCTGTTTAGTTCGGATGATGGCGCGACCGAGTTCGCCTATTTTCGGAGGTTCCTCAACCCCGAACCTTGGATCAAAAAGGATTATCAATCGTGTTTATCGTGGAAAACCCTCGGAAATTGAAGTTGTTAGTAGGATGCGGGGTTACGAGTTAGGCGTCGATTAATAGGTAAAGTGCAATCCGAATAGTCTAAGATATTAGTACATGAATTTAGCACTTTTAGAGGACCCAAAAACAAGTTCCACGCCTAGGTTAATAAGCAAGAAGACAAAAGGTTGACTCGGTCAAGGTCAAGACCTTTCTCTAGAAGTTAAAACAATAATAGAGAGCCTTGGTCAAGAAGACTCATAATTGAAGTTAGTTGAGGTGTCTTCCCTAATAATTGAAGATCATGACTCATCCTCCACCAATTATTGAAAGAATTAAGGAACAAGACAAAATAGAGAGAGAGTCGGTCATGGAGGGCTCACAGCCAAGACGGCTCACGGCCAAGGGAGAGAGAGAGAAGACCAATAATGCAACTTGCTCTCCAAGTTTTAGGGCCTTAATTGCCCATTAGGCCATCATGACCCTTAGTTCAAGACTCGAAGCCCAAGTTTGGAGATGAATGGCCAAGAATGAAGATTGTTCAAGAAGCCTAAATTAATGGCTTGGACTTTTAAGACCTTAGTCATTATTTCATTAGACTTTCAAGATCAAGATTAATGGCCTTGTCTTTTCTTCATTAAAGATTGATAGGGGATCAACTATAAATAAGGAGTGACCCCACTTGATTTTTTTTACGCACACACACCAACGCCACCTCCATTTCCATGCCCACTCTTCTTTTTTTTGTCTTTCACGCCTAGAGCTCACACTCAAGCCCCACCACATTCGGCCATCCCTTTTTCCACGCTTAAACCACATGCCCTCCATTTTCTTTGATCCCCATGTGTGCTTGTTTTATTTGGGTTGAGTAAGTAAATTCCCCAATTTCGGGAAAGGAAGATGAGATATGTTGTGACGTGGTTTGCTTGGACCGTTTTCAGACTTGTGAATGGTCGTTGGTTGTTTCATCTTCTGTCTTGCATATATCTTGAGATGTGTATATTTCTCACGTTTGCAAGAGTCACGTATGACTTGGTTGCAAGAAAGGTTTTTTTGTTGTTGTTCATAGTTAACATATGAAGATAAAAATCGAAACTTGATTGGTGATGCTCATGTGTAATAGCCATGCTTGTTGTTCTCTTATTAATTGTTGGCATGTGCTTTGCTATTGATTTGCCATCGACGCTGGTGTGGTAAGGGCCGACTCATGTTAACAGCGATCGATTCATCCTCACTTGATATTAGTGAGTTCACTTATTAGGTCTCCGCGACTTATCTCCCGTTGTTTTCCTTTTCATGTCCATAGGATGGCATCTCCCCCGACCCGTTTCGGCACCCCTGTAGAGATGAAAGTTGAGGTGGTCGATGCTATCAACACCCGTGAATGCCGGGCCTACCGTCGGGTTACTACCCATGTTATGGTTAATGAGGGCATTGAGAACTTGGTGCCCCACACTTTTATGTCGTGGTACCGATGGGCTAATGGCGAACTGGTTGGACCCCTGTGCGGGTTCAATAGCCCCTTCGGTGGAAATGGCGGGCTAGCTCCGGGGGGTGCCACGGGCGGGGCGTGAGACAGTCGAGCGGATGGCGGTGGGAGGAGGAGTATGAGCTATGTCGGAGTTCGGGGAGGCTAGGAGCTTTGAAGCCGTAGTAGCGGGCTTAGAACACCCAATCCATAACTTTTATGGTGTATAAATAGCTAAAATCAGCTAAGACCCTTGAGTCGGGTTGTAAAATATGCTTGTGTATGTTGTTTGAAAAAGGCCCGAACAACGGGCTTGTCATATATATCTCCATATCATGTAAATATACAAACATATTTGCTAATCCCGTCTTGGATGTTATTTTTTTTGTGTGATTGTCCTAAGTTTTAATTACTTCCGCTTGCGCAATGAAATATCGAATGAAGGACGTCACTAATTAATTCCCGTGAGTCACGGCCTTGCTCGGGGTATGATTTGGTCGACTAAAGGCCAGTCATGCATTCGGGTTAGGGGCGTGACAAATGAGGGCAAAAGGTTGGTTGAAAGATAGTCAGTATGTTAGGATAGATGAATAAGTTGGGATCTTCTTATCTATGGTTTATCATAATAACTCCAATAGAGATTTATGTGAAAGATTCAAACGTTCAAAAGATACAATTATCAAGTATTTTAATATATTGTCGAAAGCAATTCTCAAACTCTCAAAAGAGGTTATCAAACCACCGTCCTTTGATGTTGTCTCACAGGAAATTCTTATGAATTATAATCATGAATGATACTTCAAGGTATGATTTTTATATAGAGTTTACACTATCAAATAAATGTAGTTGATAATCTTGTATAACATTACATTTTCATAAATGCACAGGGCTACGTAGATGCTATTGATGGCACCCATATAAATGCTTCCGTCCCTATGTCTTAGCAGATCCCATTTAGAGGCATGAAAGGGAATACCACCCAGAATGTGCTTGTGTTGTTCATTTGATATGAAGTTTACTTTTGTGTATTCTGGATGGGAAGGATCTGCCAATGATTATCGGGTGCTTTCAGCAGCACTCGAGACTCCTCGACTGCAATTCCCCGACTACCACTAGGTATTTGCTTTGTCTATAAGAAGAAACTTTCTTTATTATTGTATTATGATTGCATATCATAACAAATTTATATATACCATGTTACAGGCAAATACTACGTAATAGATTCTGGTTATGCATCACTTTTGGGATTTTTAACTCCGTTTAAAGGTGAACGGTATTATTTGAACGATTATAGGGGGAGTGGAAGACGGCCAAGAACAGAAAGAGAATTGTTTAACTATAGGCACTCTTCACTAAGAAATGTCATTGAGAGGTCATTTGGGGCATTAAACAATCGCTTCACCATTTTGAGACATATGCCTCCATTTACAATAAAAAAACAAGCACTTATTGTAATTGCATGTTGTGCTCTCCATAATTACATTCGTAACCAAGACAAGATGGACAAAAACTTTCCCTTTATGGAGATCCGAAGTACCCGTTTGGATCTAGAGAAGTGGAGGTTGTAGATGATACATCACACGAGCAGGCAGCTGAGATAAACATGCTTAGGAAAAGTATTGCAAATAAAATGGTAAGGGATTACGATATGCTTGAGATTCCATGATTTTGTGTTTCCGACTTTTGTAATATTGTTTTTAAATACTAGATTAAGATGGGAGAGGATCCTTATGTGTCTTGAATT